AAAGAATTGGGAGACGGTCCCGTCCCCGTTCCATTGGGTGACGCACTGTCGGACTTCGTTTGGAAACATGATGGAACTGATCCCCTTGGCGTTGTTTGGCCGACTGGCCCGTCCGCGCCGTTTTGCCGTATTGTTGGCGTGTCACGGCCTCGTGGTGTCGGTCACGGCCTAGCTGTGTCAGGTTACGGCGCGGCGGGCGCTGCAGCGCCTCGCGGGGGGGAAGGAGGGCGGTGCGGCCGGCGCTTTGCGCGCGCCAAGCGCGGCGCGGCACGGCACGGCAGGGCGCGGTGCGGCACGGCGGTGTAGGGGTCTCTCTTTATTGCCACAAGCAGCAGCTACGGCCCCTCCTCGGGTCCGTCGAGCACGGCAGGGCCTCCCCCCTCCGGCTCCAGTGGGACTCACTAGAGCTGCGCGGCGGAGTCCTGTACCGCCGCGGAACCCTGGCTACCCGACAATGGGAGCCCGCGAGAGAGGTGCGCGGGGGCGGGGCCGATACTCAGCAAGTGCCCGGGCGTGTTATCACGATCATAACATTATCTTTCATTTCAGCATCTAACCATAGAGCTGTCAATGCAAACAATGGAGCTGTTGATGATCCGCCGGACCATAACAATTTGCAAGCTGAATTGGATGATATCAACCTCCACAATAACAAGGTAGACGCACGTTAAAACCGTGTGAAGCTGAGCTAAATGTGCGTCTACCTTGGCCTGCGGCGCGCTAAAGTTGAAAGTCGAAATGAAGGTTTATGTTAAACTAAAGTCAAAATTAAGGTTTATGTTAAACAAAAGCTTAATTCAACTAGCACCGTTGCTTCTCAAAAAGCACCCTCCTACAGACTGAATAAGTATACTTATGATGAACCTTGGGTCAAGCGCCTGCTAACGTTAGTTAGGCCATCCCCTCTGCACAGCTGCTTAGCAGGCTTGCCTACCCAGCACACTGCAGGGGCTGAAACCGCTACGTTCCGTCTGGTTTCGAAAAAAAACCGTGAAACTTCAAATGGAGCTGTATTGGTGTGCTATTGTTAAAATCTAACACAACCTATTGACTCCTTTAAAACATAATATAAAACAAATACCCCCAAACTCAACATTTAATTATTATGTAATAAAACTTTCTGTCTTGTTGCTAATTTATGAACGACATATCTAAAAGTTTACCTACAGTGAAAATAGAATACACAATGCAGTTGCTTGTGAGAATGAAAACATCCTATTAATGTTACAACAATTTCAATTACTCTAAACTGCTTGGTCTCTTCTATTTCAACTCTCAACCTGATTTGAACAGAACCATGAAATAGCATAGCTCCATTTACAAGCAATCTTATTGACTAGCTCTTGGCTATGCCAATATGATTTCGTAAAAGTGAAAAAGAAAAAGACAAACAGAAGAACTTTGGTTCAAATGAAGTGGATTGTGCGTATGTTTCATGTGTCCAATAAATTTGAATAAATGACCCCTTACAGAAAATCAAAAACGTTACTGTTAAATGACTGAGGAAAATGAAACAAACCTAAACTAAGAAAAGCTAACTCAATACTCTTTAGTGTAGTGTCCTTGTTAACGTTTGATAAATTTCGTTAAACATGGTACAATTATTTTTACTGTTGAACTGAAAATGATTTGATGTTCATTTGGTTTGAGTTCTAACCATTTTATGACAAAGCCCCTAAACCCAACTGACGTTGCAATTGTTATCAATAACAAATGTTAAAATGAGGAAAACATAATTTAAGCCAAAAACATGTTTATTCAACAAACTAGACACTAAATAACATTACATATTTTGTATCATGACTTTATCTCCCCTATTCAAATAAAGAACCAACTCCAAACCATATCATTTTTCCATCTTAACTTTCTTGGCTGGAGAAGCATCAACTTTATCTTTATCATCATCATCTACATCTACTGGCAAACTCCTCTTCTCCTCCTGCAACTTCTCAACTTCTTCAGACGGGCCAGCAGCAGTCAGCTCATCCAGCCAATCAAGCGACGTATCCAATCCAGGCTGCTCAACTTCTGCTTCAACGAACACTTCACCATGCACAGCTAACTTCGCCATTTCAACAGCTGTGTAAAAAAATTAAATGGTTAGAATACAAGCCAAAAACAAAATGAACAGTACAAAATTTATCACAACTCTACAGGTTGCTACACAATAAAAAAGAAAAAACTTACAAAAAGGTTTGATGGCAATATCGAAAGCACTACCATCCATGCCTTTAAATATCAAAAAAGGTGGTTTACGGCTCTCAATGTCTGCACTGTATTGGCCGAAACTTTCCAAACCAATCTGGTTCGGAATCCGGTTTGGCAAGATGACAAAAAAAACTTTCTTCTCCTTATCTCTTAAATGGATTTGGTACCCTAGCCCAAACTCCTTGTGAACAGGCAAAGCTGCAACCTTGGTCATAAGGTAAGGCACATTCGGAGTGACACGGAATACGCCGCCTCTGTGTCAATCCTCTATTAACATTGGAGGAAGATCCGTATGCATTCTTTGCATCAGCCATCTGCACATATAACAAGCAGGCCCGCCCTTCCGCCAAACGAAGTTGCCAGCTTCGCTTCGCTGCGCCGGCAACTC